TAGTTTTGGGTGTGTGTGTGTGTGTGTGTGTGTGTGTGCGCGCGCATCTGTTCCTTTTGAAGGCTAACAGAAGCAGCAGCACTTTTGGAGCACTCAAGATTACTGACAGGATTTAGGAGCCGGACAGAGTTTTGTGATAATTTTGCCTGATGCAGATTTAGGATGGTTAGGCTGAAGTCAGTTTAGCCTTTGTGGCCAGTGTGGCTAGAGGGATTCTCAGTAGAATATTCAGTCGAATTGCTTCTAAAAAAAAAAAAAAGTCCCAAATCCTTGTAATTGTGTTGTACAGAATCCCTTGGATGTGGAAAACTAACTTTGTGGACATTTTTGTGATGGGACTTTATTAGATTTTTTTTAGATCCCACTTTTATTATTTAGAAGCAATTCAGATAGCGAAGATACCATTAGGTATCCTCCTCTTATTTCCCACAACCACAGTCCTTTGAGATGCATTGGGCTGAAAGAGTGATTGTCTTAAAGTTACCTAGCCAGCTTTCATGTCTGACGAGGGATTAGAACTCATGATCAGTGATTGGGGTTATTTGTAATTTGGAGATAGCTTTTCCTTCTGTTTTTGAGTTTATTTCTGGAAAGTGTGTTCTAGTTAGGCTGAGCACATATGCTTCAAAAAGAAAATTCAAAGAAATGAGTGAGAAGGACCATCTAATTCAAATACATAATTGCTGTAGATGCTACCTCTTGAATTGCTAATGTTAACAATAGAGCAGCTTCAAACATTTGCATCATTTTCCTTTCTCTTTCCAAAGCCAAAAAAAGAAAAAAAATCCAAGTTGAATTGTCAATAACGTGTCTCAACAACAATGTTGAAATATTGAGTTGACTTGAATCATATTTTTCATAAGGTTGCATATATTTTGAGAAGGATTAGGCCACTTTGTGTGTCATCTTCATGTGTGCAAAGATACATGTATGCAGATTTTTTAAAAAACATCTTATTACAATCAGATTTTTGGAGGGTGTAGATCTGTATTTGACTAATTCAAGACCCACTGTATTCTGACATGAGACTTTCTCAAGCTCTTTGTTTGACAACAGTGAAGAACAAATCTTAGCTTTGTATTAAAAATCAATAAATCAATGGCTTGCACCCCAGCTGTGTGTGGATGTTTCCCAATTTATCTGAAGTATGATGTGCACATGTTCCAACAACCTCTTTCATCTGCCCTTCTAAGGTTACCTTTATTTTATCTGAACTGATCTTTCTGTATCTAAAGCACCTTCAAATTACAGATATACAACGTTCAACACTGAGCAGGTAAAATAACGATTTTTTTACCCCACTGAGAACATTTTCTCTTACCAGCATGAGGTCTTCCTCTGTGCAAGTCAAAAGCCATCATATGCACCGTAATATATGTGAGATGGATTGTTCTCCACATTCACATAAAGTGTCCTCTGTAGGGAAGCTCCATTTTCTTAGATTGCCCTTTGATCTTCCTATCCTGATAGTCTATTTAGCTATTTCCATACAGGCCAAGCTTATTCTTGACAAGGTGTCAGACAATCTTATGGTTTTGCCAAATTGCCCGGTAGATCTTTTAAAAATTATGGAGGAATTATGGAGAATGGGCGTTGGTAGAAGTCACCCTCAACGCCCTTTCTATCTTTGCTGCGACAGAGCCCAGCCCCTCCCTTGATTCGTCCGGAGAGGGTAAGACATATTTCTGTGTTCATTTGTGCTTTCAGAGACACCTTTCAGTCTGTCAAGTATCTTCGCCCAAGCTGGGGTCTCTCCCGGGGTCTGGCTTTTATATCTTAGTACAGACTCAGCTAAATGATGTCATAGGAAGGGGTCAACCTATCCTGGCCTCTCTCGCAGCATAGATAGAAAGGGCGTTCAGGGTAACCTATGGTATATCTGGACAACTGAATAACTGGATAGAAGCATTCCTATCAAACAGACAACAAATGGTCAAAATCGGGAGAGTTCTATCAAATCCAGTACCTGTCAATAGTGGTGTCCCTCAAGGCAGTGTTCTAGGACCAACTCTCTTCATACTCTACATAAACGACCTCTGTGATCATATTAAGAGCAATTGCGTTCTCTTCGCTGATGATGTAAAGCTGTTCAATACCACAGACAATACTGCTACCCTACAAAAAGATCTTGACTATGTATCCAAATGGTCAAACAAATGTCAACTTCAAATCTCAACAAATAAATGCTCTGTCTTACATATTGGCAAAAAAAATCAGAAAATAAAATACAAGCTGAATAGTCAAGACCTTGTTGATGACCCAAGCTCTGTAAAGGACCTTGGAATACTCACCTCTAATGATCTGAGTGCTAGAGCCCACTGCAACTACATAGCCAAAAAGGTATTAAGAGTTGTTAACCTAATCCTACGTAGCTTTTTCTCTGGCAATATCACACTACTAACCAGAGCATACAAAACATTTGCTAGACCAATACTCGAATACAGTTCATCAGTCTGGAACCCTCATTACGTATCTGATATTAGCACAATTGAGAAAGTCCAGAAATATTTCACAAGAAGAGTTCTCCACTCTTCTACTCGTTGTAGAATACCTTATGCCACCAGACTTGAAATTCTAGAACTAGAAAACCTTGAATTACGCCGTCTTCGGTCTGACTTAAGCATGGTATATAAAATCATACATTGCAATGTCCTACCTGTCAATGAATACTTCAGCTTCAACCATAACAACACAAGAGCACACAATAGATAGAAACTCAAAGTAAACCGCACCAAACTTGATTGCAGGAAATACGACTTCAGCAATAGAGTAGTCAATGTCTGGAATACTCTACCCGACTCTGTAGTCTCTTCCCCAAACCCCAAAAACTTTAACCTTAGACTGTCTACCATTGACCTCACCCCTTTCCTAAGAGGTCTGTAGGGGGCGTGCATAAGCGCACCAACGTGCCTACCGTCCCTGTCCTATTGTTTCTCTATTCTTTTATTTTTCTTATATGTACCCATCTCATATATTCACAACTATGTATACACTTATACTTATTATCTTGTAAACAATTGACAAATCAAATAAATAAAAAATAAATAAATAAATAAATAAATAAACTTCTACCAACGCCCATTCTCCCGGAAGCAAGTAATGAGCTGTGATAGTTTTGGTGGGGATACTAATTTTAATTGACCAACTCTCAGTAGGTAGCAAGAACAATCTGTCATCTATACGCAACATTAGGACTCTATGGGCATTACCCCTTTTCTCTAGTCCCTAAGCTCTTTTCCTTAAAGCCAATCTGCTTTTATTAGTAGTTCAGTTCTTTTAAGCCAAATTCTCCCTATTCCCATAATATCACAGCAGTGGCCAGTTGTACGTATGGTGGTGCTGAGGTTGTATGGTGAAGCCGCTTCACAGACCACATCCTCAGCTGCTATTTTGGCTGCTTTACAACCCTTCTAGAAGAGCACTAACCTGTGTTCAGAAGCAACCTGAGTAACAATTTGTAGGTAAGATGCAATTATCTTGTGAAGCTGAAGAGAGAGATTTGTGATTGTGTCCTCCTATCTTGTCAGTCATTCTTTGGGCTGCCCCCAATTCAAGCCGACCCAGATCATTAAGCTGGAAATTGGCTCAGAGACCAAGAGGGTAAAGAACCCTTTTGTTGTGCCCTTTGTCCACCAATGTGAATCCTGATGGATAGCTAACTGTAAAGACTTAGTCATCTGTCAAAATCATTGCCCTTCATAGCACTGCTGTGAAGAATAGCAGATGGTTTTCCTGCCTGCTGGTGGTGTTGAGAAAGGGGTGGATGGCATCCTTCTGTGGCAGGGTGATTTGCCTTGATGGACTTGGGATGATGCAGTGGTCTCAAGATTAAAAATCCCCCCCCCCCCCAAAATAATCAGGCTCAATGTCACACAGACATTGAGAAACTGCCTGATTCAAGTACATGTCTGTCTTACAGCTGAAAATGTGAAAGAGCAAAAGTGTTAAGTAATGGGGGAAGAAGTTGTTCAGCATTCCTGGAGTTTTGTGAATGGAATACTATATGTGTCAAGGGGGAAAAGTGACATATACATTGATAATTAGTAAGATCATCAGTTTTTCCTTGTGACTGTGCACTGTTGATGGAAGATTTCTCATATTTTTTCTTCAGTTATCAGTGGACAATGATATGTCATACCACAGCTAATATTGATTGTTTTCAGTTCAGTTTTACGATTTTAAATATACTTGTTCATTATTTTGGTTAAGTTGCTTTGCAAAAGTTGAGCTACAAATATTTTAAATAACCTGTGGCATGGCAATTTAAGGCCCATGGGCCATATCTGATTTCGAAGATATATTATTTGGTTTCATCCAAGTTCCACCCAATTTAATTCAGGCTATGATAAAGATTTCATTCATTGGATACATGGGAAGTGTTACAAACTTGACTATTCCAATTTTTATTGCAGTTTTTGTAGACTAATTAATATCAGCCACACGTTGATCCACTGTAGGATGTATAGATTTGGATCAGAATCTACCACACTGGGCTGGGCTGGAAGATAGAATTTATTATTCAACTTTTCAGTCTAGGGCTGAGAGAGTACTTGGCTAAACAGTCAGAATTTCCCCACTCTTCCCTTGTTGAGCAACGTAATCCCTACCATACACATGTATATGCATATATATCAATACCTGGTCCCAGTCAGGCCAGTTTCAGAGTTGATAATCTATCTGTTTGTTATGATAGTTGTTTATAACCCTGTGCTATCCAAATGAGATGGGTAGCATATCTGACTGGTGCTGGGGATTGGAAGACCATGCCATGCTTTGCTTTATAATGCCAAACTTTTATGGAACGCTGATAGTTCTCTGAATCCTTATGCATTCAGTAATGAGTGGCTCTCAGGTATAGAGAAATTGCCTATTCATGTATAAAGTATTAAAGGAAGGATAAATGAGGTTAGAGGTGCCAATCTTTTCTCTGTGCTGAAGAATATTATAGAAATGATTAAAAATATAAAGTTGATTTATTTTGCTTTATTTATTTATTGCAGACCTTTACTTTCCTGGATGCAGCTGTACTGCCAGTTGCCATGGAGAAGATCAAGGAACAGTTTTCTAGGCTTCAAATAGCAAAACGTTGTTCAGTAACAGAAGACCTATCTTACTTATTGGACATAGATATTTCAAGAGGAGAAGTGGCTGTTTGCTGCTCCAATAAATCAATCAGAGTTTACAACAGGGAGACATTGTCCTTGCTACAAGAATATAATAGCCATCCTGCATTGCTAAGTGGTGTCAGATTTGCACATACAAATGAAAATATATTATTTTCAGCTGGCAGTGATGGATCATTGAAGTGTTGGGATATTCGTTCATCTATTATGAAGCCTGTACAGTTGTTTTGTGGCTATCCTTCGAATGTTTTCATTAGCTGCGATATAAGCTGCAATGACCTCGTAGTATGTGCTGGCACAGAAAAAGTGGAAGAAGATGCATTTGTAACATTCTGGGATGCGAGAGGCTGCACAAATAGTGTCCCTTCCAGCAAACAGCCACTAGGTGTCTACTCAGAGTCTCATAACGATGATGTTACTAAAGTATGTTTTCATCCCAACAAACCACATTTGCTTGCTTCAGGCTCAACTGATGGATTGGTAAATGTGTTTGATATTAACGAAGACAATGAAGAAAGTGCTCTGGTTTCCACTTGTAACTCTGATTCTTCCGTAAGTTTTATTGGATGGGCTGGAAAAGATTATTGGCAGGTTTACTGCATGACACATGATGAAGGATTTTGTTACTGGGATCTTACTCAGCTGGATTCTGAAAAGTCAACTACATTATTGCATATTCCAGATGTCAGAGAAGTAGAAAATATCAAACTGGATTATTTAATTGGGGGTGTTTATCATGAAAAAGTGGACAAATTGTTTGTTTTTGGAGGCATGTCAACAGGAGGCATTTGTCTCATAGAGTGTTGTGCTCATGAGCTGAATTCTGTGGGAATACTTCAAGGAGGACACTCTGCGACCGTTCGTTCCTTCTGCTGGAATATGGTTGATGATTCTCTATTTACAGGAGGAGAGGATGCAGAGTTGTTGCTGTGGAAACCAGGAGCTGTAGAAAAAGATTTGAGTAAGAAGACTTCTATGAAAGTGGCTTCCTCTGTCTATCAGCAAACAAAAGTTCATCAACATTCCTTGAAAACAAAAAAAGTAAAGAAATGAAGAGTCCCATTTTTAAAGAGATAGCTCTCTCTCTCTCTCTCTCTCTCTGTGTGTGTGTGTGTGTGTGTGTGTGTGTGTAGTAGAAGGACTCAAAGAGTGGTTGAAATTTAAAGACAATTGAATGTGATAACTGTTGTGTAGACTAGAACCTATTTCATTGTACACAGAAATGTATGCTGTAATAGATTTGTTTCTGTGGTGCAACAACACTTTCTGCTTGTATGAGTTGACTTTTCAAAAAGTTGTAGTAGTTTTAAAAGGCTGAGTTTTCTCAACTTGGACAGTGTTTATACTTTTACCCTGAATATGTTTACTTACTCAATTGAAATCAATAGGGTCCAATTGAGTAGGATTGATCTTCCAGTATAAGAAATATACACAAGAATGTTTTACTTTACAATTTATTACTCATATATGGCATAGGGCCTAGCTACTTATGAAACCCGCTTCATCTCACCACATCAGTCTATCCCAATCATTCAGGGAGGGAAGGCATGGTACAGACCTCATCAATCAAAGAATTTTTCTTCAAAAAATTGTTTGACTGACAGGATCAAGGAAGAGGGCCTGTTTTGCTGCTGCCCCTACTTTGTGGAACACCTTGCCCTCAGAGGTGAGGAAAGCCCTCAATCTCTTGGTCTTTCACAAAGGGTCAAAATCTGGCTATGTAGTCTTGCATGAGGGATACAGGCCCACACGGCCATGGGACTGTCTATATTAACAATTCTTATTCTCTCCACCTTGTAATTTTGTAATGTTTTAAGTTTTTTCATCTTTTCATCTTAAATTATATGGTTTTTAATGTTTTATTATGTTTTATTTTATTATTAAGAAGTTTGATATGTACATAAATAAATGTTGCTACTTGTAGTTTTACTTGTATATTTCAGTGAACTGTATTTTTGCAAATCATTACAATATTGATACATGCAGGGAGGTGGGAGTTGAAGCAGCCTTGATCTGTGATTTTGAAGAAATTGCAGCAGGGTACTTGGTCTGCAGGACATATTTGGGGAAAAATGGACTTAAATTTTATCTCAATATTCTTAAAAAACAGATGTCTATACTGAGGAGGAGGAGGAAAATCTGCTTAAATAACCCGATAAAGCAGACTACCCATGTTACCCATCTAAAGAGATCAAAGTACTTAAAGAACAATCATGGTATTTGAGGACACCTAAAATGAGACAAAAATTGTAATTAATTTATATTGCAGTGTCAGTTCCCAGGTTCTATAAAATGTTACCTTTATTCTGATTTGAAATACATTTTAATTCAAGATGGTAAAGAATTGTAACTCTCTGGAAAAAGAATTAGGAGGTGAAATTAATGCTTTTTAGTAAAAGAGTGTTTTTCTACATTGTTCTGTCATCTATATGGTGGAAGTTGGCAAATTGGTGCCCACAGCGCCAGGACCTTTGTCACCACTAGGTGGCACCCACTATTCTATATATATATATATATTTAAATCTCAAGAGATAGCCACGTTTTGCAAGACTATTCAGTGTTATTATGTCAACTCTTATGAAATTTTGTTCATTTTTTTTCTATTTCCAAAGTTGAGTTTTTAATATTGTGAGAATACACTTGCTATCTGATGAGGTGATTGACCCTTAATTTAAATTGAATAATATTTTGAGGAAGCTGTTCTATTTTATACATCATCTTCTGAAGATTTGTCCATGACTTAATTTGCACAGGGCACTACCATCATAATACTAGGATTCACTTATTTGGAACTCCTCACTTTAAACTGAGATGTCAGGAACAATCTAGAAAATGTTTTATTTTGACAAGGAAGGAGAACAGAACAGTTTTTGGTAGAGGGTGAAGGAAAAGCCCTAATCTACGAGAATGTTGATGTTACATTTTATTTTAATTATTTTGTTCATTTATTATAAACTCAGAATCATTGACACGGGAGGAACATACAAGATTCACAAATTATTATTATACACAAAAAGATGTGAAATCACAGCTGCCAGTTCTTTATCCGGCGTTGGCCTTCATACACATCAAGTTCTTCCCAAGATCCTTGCATGTCAAAATGTGTTGCTGTAGCATATGTGTGGATCCATTTTTGTAACTGCCAGGTGAAAATTTTGTCAATGTGCAGATTTTCTAAGTGCCATCCAAGATTTTTTGGAATGGCAGCCATATAGGGAGGATGGAATAAACTCTGAGAATATAGCACAATATTTGAAACAGAAAGGTCTTCCAGAAATTAGAGAGGAACAGAAAGAGATATTAAATAAAGAAATAACAGTGATAGAATTGAAAAGGGCAGTTGAAAGGCAGAAAAATAATAAGACACCAGGGCTGGATGGTAAGTTCCCCTTCTATTCCCTCATCTAAGTCGTTAATGAAAATATTGAAGAGTACTGGGCCTAAGACGGAACCTTGTGGCACCCCTCTACTTACTTCCCTCCATGTAGACTTAGACCCATTAAAGACTCCTCGTTGAGTACGGTTTGTCAGCCAGTTGTGAGTCCACCTAGTGGTGGTGCTATCTATTCCACTTTTTCTAGCTTACTAAGAAGTAGGTTGTGGTCTACTTTGTTGAATGCCTTGCTGAAATCTAAATATATTATGTCCACGGTATTTTGCTGGTCTACTATAATAATTGTTACAGATGCCCCAGTGAATCATTTTGGCAACTGCATTATGTCATTATTTGTAATCAGTTTGTGCACAATTTTCTTGCACAAGGTGAGTATATGATGTGTGTTTCTTCTGCTTCTTTGCACAATCTGCACTTTGAATCATTTGATGATTTTTCAGTCCTGGTCTTGATTGCATCAGTTTGAACAACTTGCTCCTAAGCAGCCAAAATCAAGTAGTCTGCAACAGGGGTCGCAAACCTTTTGGACTTCAGGGACCACCAAACTCATAATTTTAAATCCCGGGGACCACTAATATGAATTTTGACTGACGGTGGCTTGCTGACGTTGGTGGGAGAGAGATAGAGATAGATCTGATCTAACCTCTCTCCCCTCCCGCCTCTCTCTCACACACAAACCCACAGAGGCAGGGGTGGGATTCAAACTTCTTAACAACCGGTTCTGTGGGTGTGGCCTAATTTGTGAGTGTGGCTTGGTGGTCATGTGACTGGCTGGGCATGGATTGTATGTAAATATTATAAATATTTATGCAAATATTGAATTTTTTATTAAAAAAGAGCAACTTTTACCCAAACTCAAGCAAAGCAGGCAGGCAGATTGAGTTGCTCCCAGAATCATAGATTCATTCAGAAATCTATCTTTCTGCCCTCGGCTACCTGAGTCTGCACTGAATAATAGACGCTTCAATCCTCAGGGAGGTTAGGCTCTGTTTAAAAGCAGAGCCGAAGATCTAAAGATTAGCTAGAAAGCAAGAAATCCAATAGTTTCCTGCTTTCTAGCTAATCTAAATCTCCCGGCACAGCAGAACAGCAGGCAAATTTGCCAGGTAAGGAGTGAGTGGGCGGGAAGGGTTCCCGCAGGCCACGTGGGCAGTGCAGCCTTGTGTTCCTGCGCAGCCTGGATTAATTGCTTTGGGGGGTGCTCTGGGGGTGACATTTCTCTGCGGACCACCAATTTGTTTTCACAGACCACCAGTGGGCCATGGCCCACTGGTTGGCGACCACTGGTGTAGTAGTCAAATATCTTAAACTAGATAAGGTCCAGCATTGACTACTGACCCCTGGTGACCATGTATTGGCATGCTTCTAGTTTAGGTTTGAATTTAACTTTGGCCTCCTTCGAAACTGCCTAACTTGAGGGCAGAAATAATAAAAGAATTTAAGGTTATTGCTAGTTATCCTGATTGTAAAACAGGTTTTAAAGGATTTGAAACTACTTGTTACCTGTTTCAAGGGATGTGTTTCAGCATATTTGTGAAGGGAGTCAGTTGATAAGGATTTATTTCCTTATGATGACATCTTCATAGAACTGGACATATGGAAGGTTACATATATTATTGTCTGATGTACTTTGCAAATGCTTGTCAAAAACAAGGAGATATCAGTGTCTACTTTTTCAACAAGAAAAATCTGATTTATTGTCTAATTAAATTTGTAGCTGCTTTTTCACTTTCTTTTGCAATTGAATGTGGAAAACATCCTCTCAACTTGAAAAGGGGTAAAAAAAAAATACTGGATAGCATGCACATTTTATAATCACAAATTAATTTTATAATCATGTGTAGATATTATATCATTTCTATGGTGAAAATGGATTATTTTGAGACAATGCTGTGTCTATATGTTAGATTAAAACATAAGAATGCTTGGTAATACAAAAGCCATGAACTTAGATCAAAGGTGATAGGAGAATTGCAGTGAAACAAATTCCCTAAATGTTGCTGACAGTTAAAAAAAACATTTCCTTTTTACAGAGGAAGTCCTATCCTGCTTCACTGCACTTTATTTCAGACAACTCTTTCTTTCTACCTTTAATGGTTATTGCTACTATGACTCTGAGTTCACCCATAATTTTCAGTGCTCCTACTTTAAGAGGCAGTTGTCTATTGTGCATGAAGCAAGATAGCTGTAGTCACAAAAAGCCTTATTATATAGAAATTTCTAACATAAAAAGTCAGCTATAGGAGACTGATTCTGAAGATTTTTATGTAGTTGGGGAGCTATCTTACTATTGCAAAACCAGTAATAGAATCTAACTGGAAAGAAGGTACCTATAATATTATGGGGCTGTATCTGCAGATGTCTCTTTTGCCTGTGCTTGTTTAGCAATAAATCATTCACAATAAATCCAATTTAAACCTTTAGATACAATGCCCAATCAAATAGAAAATGAAAAATATTTTGGAATTATTCAAGTTGTTCATTTAATTTTTCATCCATTTGCATAAAAATGGATTTGCTAGACATGAAGCTTAAAGATTCTGTCTCAGTATGCTAATATTCGTTCGCCATCAAGAGTTGTGGTGGCACAGGTGTTAGAAGGCAATACTGCAGGCTACTTCTGCTGACTGCCAGCTGACTGACAGTTCGAATCGCACCAGGCTCCAGGTTGACTCAGCCTTCCATCCTTCCAAGGTGGATAAAATGAGGACCCAGACTGTTGGGGGCAATATGCTGACTCTGTAAACTGCTTAGAGAGGGATGTAAAGCACTGTGAAGCGGTGTATAAGTAAGTGCTAGTGCTATTTTTGTTCAATTTCTTATATTGGAGTGAATAGTAAAAATGCCATTCCAAGAAAAGGAACTTGGCCCATTTAGTTTATTGTACCTGCCATAAGG